AGAGAAACCGAAGAGATGACTGCAATGGCTAATCCACTCACTTATATTCGTTGTGTACTTATGACTCTAAATAACCGTAATCATTCAAAGAAATGAACCTGAGGTTTAGAAATGCTTTTCACCGTATTCGTTGCGACTTCTGAACCATTGATAGTTTCGTGATTGCTTAATGTCAATTATTCTGTTTTGCATGATGTAGTCTCGGTGTAAAAGAGTTCCCTGTGTGCGCAGTACTCGCCTGTGCTAACAAAAGACTTTGAAAATTCCTTTAATCTTTCAAGCATGAAGCTGGTCTAGTACACGATTTGTTTTAGTGTTATTTTGAATAATTACTAGGCATACTGTTCTCCAGCATAATGTAAATCCAGGTTTAATTTGATATCTTCGTGAGACTTTCTTATCTGCACGGTGATAGTTAAGCAGCTGATTTCGATGGCACAGTTTTCTTAAAGTTCAACTGATCACAGTTGCGAGGGCTTTTGAACATGGTCAGGATTCAAAAAGAGGGACTCCGATTTCTTTACAAAAACGATACTAGCTGCCATTGTCGAACCGTGTGGTTAGAGTGCTTGAATGCTTCGAACACCTGGCATGTTGCGCCTTGAAACCCAGACTGCAGCTTGCTGTATTGCCGGTTTCATTGGAAGCTGTGGCCTTTGTCCTAAACCAGTGGAAAGTTATCAACATGTATAAACGGGCATATATGTAAACGTTTGTCACTTGTGAATTTGTCTGTGCAGTTGGTAATTTACAAAAGGGATAATGTATTTGCATTTTTTCAGGAATGGATGCTCTTTCGTGGATAAACGACTGGTATTCGTCATTTTACTGTAAGTGCAGCTTGATCACAGCATGTCAGGCGTTTGCATACGCGAAAATCGTTTTTCAGTTGATAGTATGGACACCGATATTGGAAGATATTTTACCTCCTCCCTTGTGGGTACGGTCAGATTTCTCCATTTCCTGCGGATCATGACCAACAGGGCTTGCGAGGACTTCGAAGCATGGCAGATCATAGCGTACACTTTTGCCGTTTTGGGTACTACCTGTTGGCTAGTGAATATGTACTTTTCGAGGGAAGGTGCGTGTATTCCGATTGTTTGAAAATGCTTAATTGTTATTTGCTGTCATATGGTATCTTAGAAGTTATTAAGACAGCTCTGTTATTCTTCAAGCTTTGTTTCATAAATGATGACGATTGCGTCAGTAGCATTCTCATACAGAGATCACCATTTTGAAAGCAGCCTTATTCACGGTACTCAGTCTCGAAGCGTCTGCCCTCTGAAGAGTCATAACGCTCATTTAGACAGCTTCCAACAACGCTGTCTGCGCAGTATCATCAAAAGATGACGGCACCACCGGGTTATAAATGAGTAGGTGCAGTTGGCCATCCACCTGAGAAAAACTAGCAGATAAACTCAGGGACTGACACATGGCTTGGTTTGATAAAAGAGCCAAAAAGAGAATTAAAATATATTAGATTGTAACTGCCAACTGGTCGTAGATGCATCGCAGTACAAAACAAAATATGGAAACACATCGTTAAAACAGAACTGTTGGCGACGAGAAATATTACCCCTTCCCCTGCAGTGAATGTTGCTTAGTGTCAATCTGAGATACTATTTCTGAAGGTCAGATGTCATAAATCGTGGATACTCTGCTGTCTGTTTAAGCCCTGTCAGCCTTTGACGACGGTGACAAAACAACAAAAAACAACAGTGGCATTACAGTACCGTGACCATCGCCTGTTTCTCAGTGGTACTTGCTTTGTTTCGGTAATAAAGAGACGGTATACAAATGTTGTTCGTGGTCAACTATAGCCTGTACCGAGGGACGGCTGTTTTATGTTGTTTGTTATCTGCGAAGGGACCACATAATTTCCAGGAGCAGATGAATTTTTCCTGGTACGGAGCCAGTGCACTAATCAGCTTCCAGAATTCTGCTCTTTCTTCCTGATCTTAGTGTTATTGTGCAAGCGGCTCCAGCCTGCGGGATGTGATGTGATTTCATTGGTTTCACACACCAGCTCACCTTAGGTTCATGTCATCAGTCCGGTTGTTACCGAGATTAAAAGAGTCGTTCACCACAATAGCATACTTTACTGATCAAGACCCCTTAAAATGGTGTATAATCAGGGATTATGTCATAAGGATGATAGGAACATATACAACAGGAAGATGTAACATCTCATAGTGCATCGTACCGCCTGCCATGTGAACACAGAATGACTCTGACATGCAAACTGCCAGTGAGGAAAGTTACTGAATTTGGTTCGATGAGCACCAACAACTACGTTTTTACTGATAACCAAGAGAAACTTTTGTCGCTTTTTGATGAGGTAGGTTAGGAGCTGACTCGAAGTTAGGAGTTTCATCTTCTGTAATAACCAAATATTGCGAATCTTTCTGATGTAATACGTAGGACTGAACTGCGGCCTCCGCGTCTCAGAATATTAAATATAATTTCTTTAATACTACCAGGAGGAAGTTTTTTGATTCTATGTTATAACATTAATATTTGCAAGTAATGTTTACTTGGAGACTACTTCTCTGCCCCAGTTGTTGCCTGACCATTTTGTCATCGATTCTTATTTTGTTGCTAATTTATAATGGTAATATTCGTAACTAATGAGACACTGTCATTATTGTAGAAGTTGCATCCCAGGTGAAAACTACGTTGTTCAAATCTGCCAGGAAACTTCCTTGGGTTCAGCGTCAGATCAGTCAACAGATGAGTTATGCACGTGAATTTCTGACTGAAGAGATCCAGCGAAACGATCCGCTCGGCTACTTTATCCATCGACTGCCGGATATTGGATTTTCTGATGTAACAAAATTCAAGCTGTACTCAACTTCTCTTACTGCCGCTTTAGGATGAACTGATGGAGCTGATCGATCCGTACGAAACTGCAGGTGCGAAACTTTCTCTAATTAACTAGTTGTTTTTCAGAACAAATTATTGAGGTAAATAGTTTTGCTGTGCGTGTGCCAAATCTTCGTCCAGACGAATTTGTAACAGTCTTTTATTTATCATTAATGTCATTTATATTATGGGTACTGAAAGTAGGAATATTGATCATCTTTATTATTCGACGCCTTTTCCAATAAGCGAACAACAATTACGATGCTAGCATAGGTGAAGAATGTTGCCACAGTCTAAGGGACAAGTTTTGGGACCATTCTCATGTAGAAGAAAGATAGATGGCGACTCTGCTTTGCACTGATTAGTACACAAATAGTCATTTATCAGATGAATCAAAGCAAAGTGCAGCCTCAAGAAGCACTCGCATGGAACAGCTGGGCCATACTCTTCGTCAATTCTGGTATGACTACACCGGAATGTCATACCTGTCCTGTTACCCTGATGTTCGGAAGAAGTTAACGAGATGTTACTCGTCTCTCGGCTGGTTGCACCGCAACCATGTGGGCCAAGCTCCCTGTTCAAGGAAATCAGCGATCGCGATTAATTAAACGACAGTCTCTTCTACAGATTCGAATCTGACACCTCCAATCTCTTTGCTGTTGTGCCGCCTCCCTCACCTTTCCCAAAGAAGAGAATCACAAATTTACTTGAAGTTTTCATTTCAAGAATGCCGGGAATCATGAACCAAGCAGTCGTAATTGATAGTATTCGAATATCATTTTTTAAATTTTGAGCAAAAATTAGAATGTGTAGTTATGAAAACTCTATGTTATTAATCTACGTACTTTAGGAACGT